AAGTGCAAGCACACTGCGTTTACCTTCATTTAAGATTATAAAGTATGTTTCCAAGTCATATTCTCCATCCCTTAGGCCTGCATGGCTTCATGTGACTTACACTTCACTTCAACTTTCTGCTCACACAAGATGAAATTACGAGCCTCATCAAGTGGTCCTGGCTCAACAAAGACTCTGTCTAAGCACACACTTTCACTTCCTTTCTTTCGATTCATCTGATATGCTCTTGTAGACGTTTACGTCCACAACACAGTCACATCACTGTTTGAAGAGTATCCCTCATGGGAGTGGTAACTGTTGCCGAATTGAAGCCTAGCATTTCAGGAAAAAGGACCTTTCGTCCAAGCTCAAGCATAAGACATGCCACCGAATGGTAATCTTTTAATTCATGATGCATTAGTGTTGATTGCAACCATACATGGTCTAGCATTTAGATTCATCAATGAGGGCCTTCTGCATAATTGAGTGTCTCTTTCATTTCATACTTACATGTTCTTAGTAAGTGGTTTCGAGTTCAACTATGAAAGTAGGCACAGATGGAAAAAGTAGCTGATGTAGGTTTCAACCTTCTAAATTTTTCTTATCTAACACAGTCACGGGTATCCAAATTTATGGTAGAAAACAACACTTCTTGGATATGGTGTTATGGGTTAAAACATTGGCAGATAAAGATGTAACATTGACCATGATGTAGTGTTTCACCCACCTGACAGCGGTATGGCGCTGCATGGTGAATATTCAGATCTCATCTGCTGTCAGCAATGTGAACGACAATTAATTTTGTCTGTCAATTATTCACGTGCTTTTATTATCTTTAGGCCCTAAGATGATGTAATTGGAGCTCACCGACTATGGAAAAATGAAAACCCTTTTGGCTGCACATAGATCAGGACAGGTGTTAACATCACAACCCCGTCGCTCCAAAATTTATTTTCTACTTCTTATCTTAGATGTTCAATGATTTGCATTCATGGGTTCCACTACAGTGACAACCATTTTACTCTTAAATATCAATTTGACTTTAAACTCTTGTAAACATGCTGTGTCTGCAGTGGTGTGTCTATTTATAGTCTTGCACAAATTCTGTATTTATTGAGTTGGGGCCATTCACGCCTAAAACTTTGACACTGGAAGATTAAGTTGTCTCTTCGGTTGTACAGAGCACATGGCTTGAGTTCCAATTGTTATATTAAATTTCAAACAAACATTCTAGTGGAGGATAATTTAACTTTGGTAATGTGTATGCCTGCAGCTGTAGTTTTTGCTTAATGTTGGATTTTTCAGGTTTTATGTTATGTAGTGATTCAGCCAGATTTGATTTTTGCAGGCCAATATCTGACGTTTCCAGTGATCTCACCATCGAAGTAGGAGCATCAGCCTTCGCACTTCACAAGGTAAAGAAAACTACCTGCCATTCTGATAAGAGGTTTAGTATTCTTCATGGTCTTCTTTGGTTCAGAATCTTAAGAGTTCATGAATATTTGTCAATTGTTGATTATTACTTTTGTTTTTATTTTGCTATCAAATATATATAACCAATCTTATGCTTGAATATTTTCAATGCATGCATTGTAAGCATCATGCCCAACCTTAGTCCAGTGCACTAATGACTGGTAAGTGGTTACAGAACCATGAACATAATGCTACATGGTTTTGTTGGGCTGATATGGTATGGTTTCTTCATTGTCTCTCTGCATGACTCAGTCTAAAAACAGAAAAAGAAAGAAAAATAAGAAAAGTATCATTTTGCTGTACCATGAGAAAGAGAAGAATAAAGGATTTTCCGTTTCCACCGTGTACTGAGTGTGCCAATTTTTGCACTAGTTTCCCCTTGTTTCTCGGAGTGGAAGAATTCGGAAGCTGCTGTTAGAAGCAAAAGATTCAAAAATTATACGCGTAAGTCTCCCAAATGTGCCAGGTGGAGCAGAGGCATTTGAGCTAGCTGCCAAATTTTGCTATGGAATCAATGTTGAGTTCACTCTCTCAAATATTGCCTTGCTACGTTGCACGGCTCATTTTCTTGAAATGACAGAAGAATTTGCTGAAAAAAACTTAGAATCCAGAGTTGAAGCATACCTTAGGGACACAGTGCTACCTAACATATCAAGCACAGTGTATGTTCTTCACAGTTGTGAGGCCCTTCTTCCAATGTCAGAGGAAATAAACCTAGTCAATAAGCTAATCAATGCAATTGCAAACAACGCGTGCAAAGAGCAGCTTACATCTGGTTTACTAAAACTCGATCACAATTTCCCTTCCAAAACCACACCAACCATGGAGCCAGAAACACCCGCAGATTGGTGGGGGAAGTCTTTCAATGTTCTTAGTCTTGAGTTCTTCCAACGAGTTGTATCTGTTGTGAAGTCAAAGGGACTGAAACAGGACATGATCAGCAAGATATTGATGAACTATGCACACGGTTCACTTCAGGGGATTGGTGTTAGAGATCCCCAAGTGGTGAAAGGAAGTCTTCATGACATGGAATTGCAAAAGAAACAAAGGGTCGTCGTTGAAACCATAGTCGGCTTACTCCCAACTCACTCAAGGAAAAGCCCTGTTCCAATGGGATTCCTCTCAAGTTTGTTGAAAGCTGCAATAGCAGCACCTGCATCAACTCATTGCAAATCTGATTTGGAGAGGCGAATTAGTCTTCAACTAGACCAGGCAATTCTCGAAGACATCTTAATCCCAACAAACTCACCTCAAAACACCCACAACACCATGTATGACACTGACTCAATTCTGAGGATCTTTTCTATTTATCTAAACATGGACCAAGAGGATGGAGAAGACAGTGATAACTACATTGATGAAAGCCAAATGGTGTATGATTACGACAGCCCTGGATCTCCAAAACAAAGCTCAATTATAAAGGTATCGAAATTGCTGGACAGTTATCTCGCTGAAGTAGCTCTAGACTCAAACTTGTCGCCCTCAAAATTCACAGCACTTGCAGAACTACTTCCAGATCATGCACGTGTTGCAAGTGATGGACTCTATAGAGCAGTTGACATCTTCCTCAAGGTGAAAATATTTCCCATCATGTTTAACCTTTCAAAAAAGACTGAAATTTATGCAATATGTTATTGTTGGTTGTGATAACCAATTTTGTTTCGTTATGATGTAGGTTCATCCAAACATGAAGGACTCTGAGAGATACCGGTTATGCAAAACCATTGATTGTCAGAAACTGTCTCAAGAAGCATGCAGCCATGCAGCACAGAATGAAAGGCTACCAGTGCAGATGGTGGTTCAAGTGCTTTACTTCGAGCAAATGAGGCTTCGCAACGCCATGAATGGAGGGCACAACCAATTCTTCTTCGGTCAGTTTCCTCACCGTTCAGGAAGCGGTGCAGGGAGTGGAGCCATTTCCCCGAGAGATAACTATGCATCAGTGAGAAGAGAGAACAGAGAACTGAAGCTTGAAGTAGCAAGAATGAGAATGAGGCTCACTGACTTGGAGAAAGACCACGTGTCTATGAAGCAGGAGCTTGTTAAGTCTCACCCTGCCAACAAGTTGTTCAAATCATTCACCAGAAAGCTCAGTAAGCTCAATGCTCTGTTCAGGATAAATAGCATTAAGCCAATTGGTGGCAAGGCTTGTTCAGAAACTCGCTTCCCTTTTCCAAAGCGAAGACGCCACTCTGTTTCATGACTTTATTCAAACACGTAATATACCATATATGCCATAATTCATGTACAGTATGCGTAAAAACATTCTAGTCATGCGTAATGCATAGCGTGCTTCTGTCTATTTTCCAGTCAACAGTTTTTTCAGTTATGTTGCTGACTATCAACTGTGTTCAGTACTTTCATTACACTTCTGAGAAACTCAATATCAGAATTTTAGTATAAAAACTCTTTCTGACAACTGAAATGTTTCTGAGACATCTATTTTTGTTCGGTAGTAATTAGCAGCCTAAATAATTTGTTATGAGTAAAGGATTAATAATGTAATGTAAGTGTGATGGCATAGGATACCATAATTATTAGGATGCACAGAGGGATGAGAAAAGAGAAAGGAGAGTGAAATGCACGAAACAGACAAAAGAAGATTCATTTTACTGTCCGTATAATTGGCTAGAATGAAAAACATGTAAACTGTAATAATTACTAGTGTTTTGACCAGTTTTTAAAACAGAGTTGTTGAATATTTATAAGAATATATTTTGTTATATATGAAAAATAATAAAATTTATGTAACATTTATTTAGAATAATAGTAATAATAATAATAATAATAATAATAATTAAAATAATGATTAATAAAATATTATGATAAATTTTTTTGTAATAAATTTTGTTTTGAAATTTAAAAAATATTTATTTTAAATTGTTATAAAACTATTTTAAAATTTTATATTTGAATTTATAATATTCTTATTTTTAAACTAACTCTAATATTTGTTTAGAAATTATTGATATAAAAATATTTTTAAAAACATTGAATAAAATTTAATATAAATTATAAATTTAAATAAATTTAATATTGTTAAATATTTAATAAAAATATTAATTTTAATAAAATATTGTTATAATAATTATAATTTTTATATAGAAGTTAATTTTGATCCCAATTTAAAAAGCAATGAAATTATTTTAATTTAAAAATAAATTAGAATTAAATTAAGATAAAATACAAATAAAAAATAAATTATAATTTTTTGACATTTACTATCAAGTCATACTATTTCTCTTACATGGTAAAATCTCTTTATTCCTTAACACATATATGAATAATGTATCGAAAATAATTAAATTGAATTTAAAATTTGATAATTTAATTAAGATTTTCAAATAAATACTAAAATTAATGAAAAGTTTGAACCTAAACTGTTTAAATTTTTATTTTTAAATCTATCACCTCCTCTTTTTATGAAAAACCTTTCCCGAAATGTTTTGATGGGGTGCAGGAAGCTTTACCCTTTTTCTTCTTTTAACCGCTAAGCCCATATCCTATTGGGCCATCATATTGAGCTTTGGAAGCCCAATCGGTGTCCGGCCTTTCTGTGCAAAGTCGATAGCCGTACCAATCTAAACGGTCTTCGATTTGGATCCTGCACCGTCATCTGGTGCAGTGTGAACGATGACTGTGAAGTTGTCCATGGCAGGGTTTCGAAGCTCGTTGCCTTTTTCGGCGCTTATACGGTAACTAACCCATCTTCTTCTCCGTTATTCCTCGCTTTCTAGTGATATAAAATATCATCACTTTGCGTTTTTTTCCCTTAAAAAAGTTATTAGGGTTCCTCTCCATTAACGTCGATTTATTCCTTTGTGTTTGTGACAGACAAGTTGAACAAGAAATGGAAACTGTTATTAAGGTGCTGCAGCCTGGACCCTTGGGAATCATAGAGCACAAGTTTTCTGCTGACGAAATTCGCAAGGCTAATTCCACCGTTTCAAAAGCAGTGATCAATTGGCGAAGGAATGCAATCCTCGAAGACAATAATCACGTTTTGAAAAATTACATTCACAAGTGAAGTAAATTTAATTCCCTTGGTTGCTATTTTTGTTCAGATATGTGATCTTTGTTGAGATCTTTGATGATGTAAATGCTGGTTACTTGGTTATAAATCTGTACGAAATTATTTAATAATATCTGAACTTTGGTATGATAGTTAATTATGTTTACGATAATATTCTTTTAATCATTATGTTTACGATGATATGATGATGTGGAGTGTGGATTGACTTGCATTATTTTGTTGTTGGAGATGCTACACATTGCAACTTTGCAAGTGATTCCATTTCATCTGCGTAGGCGACGAAAATGATTTATCTTGCCTTTTGACAATCTGCTCGTTGGGTGTCAGCATTGTCTTTTCGTGTCACTTTTTTACATAATCTCTTCTATGAAGATTAAAAATGTGTATATTTTGAGGTACTTTAGTTAGTTATGAAAGCTATGTTTCTTGAATAATAGAGAAATAAATAAATAAGTTGGATTTGATTCATCTGCAATGAGCAAGTATAAAGTAAGAAACAGTAGCTGATGGGGAGATCAATAATTGATTTTCTATTATGTTGGACAAGAATGAAGTATTAACAGTTGGTTTTCTTATTAATGACTGGAATTATTTTGTTTCTTTTTTAAAGTGTGCTGTCCGTTGCTTCCAGAGAAACTAAATACAAGTAAGTTATGTCTCAATATCCCTTTTTCTGGTGATCCCTATCTTTTGCAAATTCATTTATTGGTTGCCCAGTTTCTGAATTGCATTTACTATTTGTTAAGGATAAAGATAAGATGCAAGAAAACGAGAGAAAGTTTTGTTTGTTTATGTTTTTGGCCCTCATGCTTTTCTCTGTACTCTAACTAACGCTCACCTCCCTTTTTACCGAATTGATAAGTACTCACCTTTTACACGGAAGGAGCTACGCGTCAATCATGTTTAGGCCTTGAACCTTACTTGGGTTTGATTTTTTGTCAAAATGAGTGTTTACGTTTTTTACATTTGACTGGAAAGAAGTTCCACTTAGCTGATAGGGCACTAACCAGTCAAACCTCTGATAAGAAACGGTGTCATAAAACACGTCAAAAGGGCACTAAAATTGCTTAAAGAAGGCAAACTTTTTAGAAAATCTATTATCTTGTGTTATCTTGTATATCATATGGATTTTCCCTAGCCCACTTTTGAAACATGCATGCGTCAAGCTTTCGGTGGTTTTGTCAGCTAAAGAAACCATACACTGGCATTGTGAAGAACACTTCTTTTGAACCCCAATATTCTGGTTTTTCTTTAGTAACTCTCGGGGAAAATACTCTGACACTATTTAGCACATCTTTATTTAACATTTTTTTTATACTAACATAACTAGTGTCTTTTGTCCTCTAGAATGCCTATAACACGGAGTGGACTTGTTCAAGAGTACATATCTCGAACCATTTCTTAACACATTTTATTATTGCTGAAAGTTTGAGTTTTCCTAAAAACAAAGTTGTAGCAGTTATTATTTTTTTTTTTGTAACAAATGTGTTTTAAAATATATTGTTCGTGTTGTTGTCTATGATGCTAAAAATCGGTAGTACTACAAAAATAGGTGCATTACTGAGTTTTCTAGATCCTCTAATTTTTTCCGATTTGAGTGTTAAAATACCTTCTACAAAAGCACCTACACCAGTTATTGCATTGTAGTGAGAGAAGAATATATTCTTCAAGTTTTAAAAACAGACATGCAATAAATAAATTGCTTTTCCACAATTGGATGCTACTCAATCAAATCAAGCTAAAGCACTCAATTTTTAGTATTTTCCTTTGGCCACTTGTTTTTTCCTTTCATACATAATATATTTTGTAATAAAAGCACACAAATACAAAAATAAAAACTCGATTTTAGCCTTTAAAAGGTATATGTATCCTATTAATTTACTCACATAAAACTAGTTTATAGTGTACATGTACATGTCTAATCTATTTCTGCTTAATGAACAATATGCATGTATACCAAAACAAGGTTACATTCTACATATAAACAACCACAAAGATACTTTAGGGAGCACAATTTTTGAAGTTAAATTATTTGTTGGCATATACCAACCGGTGTAAAACAAAAATAAAAAGGACCTTGGCATATGCGGTTCGAGAACTAGTATAGAACACAAAACCAGTGCAAGGCCAGTTCTCGGCATCGCAGTGGGGACTCTGGATTCCTCGACAACAGCTTCTGCTTCAAAATTGACATGCATTTTTTTATTATTATTTATCTCTCACCCTGTCTCTCATTTTTAAGGATATCCTATGCATAAACATGGAATATGTATTTCTAAAAAGTTGTGGCTATATCGTCTCCTCTATGACATCTGTGTACAAACTGCTCATTGATCTTTCTTCCTGTAATGTTAGTTTAGATATTTTATTTTTCTTAAGCGCTATTTAAAAATTATGAATAATATGAATTACATTTCTTCCATACATTAAAATCAATTTTTACAGTTAAGCTTTATATAAACTTCGTAATTTAACTTCTTCCAAAGCTAACATACCTAATGTGAAGTTATGGGAAGATTGTTAAAAGTATTCCGATTTAAGAAATTTGATGATGAAGTTTCCAATTGAACAATTTAAGCACAAATATAGTGTTTTTAATAATCTTTAACTGGTTTTTATTGTTGTTTTCAACATTATATCCCTTGTCGAATTAAGAGATGCTGTGATTTGATTGCGTGAAAGGAGTGTGAACATTTGTTTAGTTCTTAATTCATGTAACTCAAACAACTGTACACTTCTCTGTTTATTCACACTCAAAGAATACTTTAATCGAACTGCCGATAAATGTTACATCCTTAATCTATATAGTAATGTTAAAGCTTGTTTGAGTAGCCTTGAACAATGATGTGTGAAAATTTCATGATGTCTCATGCATTAGGAGAAAATCAAAGCTGTTATAAGAAAGGAGAAATAGAAAAATAATGAAGGGAATCAACCGGCTGTTTCTGATATTCCACATATCATTACCCGATTACTGCTATTTGTGATGTTTCCGTTATAAATCCCTCATATTTCACAGATAGCATCTCTGAATTTGACATAATATTACATCTAACATTTTTTTTTGTTTACTAATCTCTCTTAAGAAACCTCTGTCCACAGAACTGAAAATGAGATTTTTAACGGGTGAGAATTACACGATGAAATGGCCAAACCATGTGTGGTTAAAGCCTTGGTCTGCAATAATATACAAAAGAAGAGTAGTGCTGTTCTGCTCCACAAAAGAACACAAAGGAAAAATTGAGAATACAAGAGTATGGCCAGAACTAGAAGACTTTCTATACTAAACTGCCTCACAGAGCTAGTTCTCATAGCTTAGAAAAAAACTAATTAGAACCTCTTATTTGATCATACGGGGTGCTCGAGTTTGCAACTTCAGAGAAATATGGCTTTAGCCTCGAACAGCAATTGGGCAAGCTTGTTCTGGACATTTAGTTTGAATACTTCATCAGCACCACCTATGAATTCTTGTCCTATGAACACTGCAGGCACACTGGGGCGGCAACCTAGCTGGAGCAGTGCACTCTCTAGTTGTTGGCCACATGCCATTTTGTCAACCTCAATAACTGCATGGTTGGCACCAAAGCTGCGTATCAGGGCCTGCACTGTGTGGCTCATGCAACAATTGCTCTTGCTGAAGATCACCACTGGCTTGGCTGCAATCAATGGTTTCAAGTCCATTGCCGTGCTGCAATTGGAATTTTGGTTGGAGGGTTTCTAGAGTGACTGCTAAGTGACTATGTGAGTTTGTTTGGTTTATCTGCTGCTAAAACTCGAGATTAAGTGGTCTATTTATACCTGGCTTATTCTGGGAGGATAGTTTCTTATAGGGAAGAATAAACACCTATCTCATAAAAGAATAATAAACATTAAAGTTGTGGGCGTCATAAATGGATTCCCAAAACCTGCACAGTTAATGCAGCAGAAGTGAATTGCATTTGAATTGATGAGAAAGAATACAGAGATATTATTATGCATAAAGTGAAATAATGGGGCAATGACATGTTGGCAAATGTACATGATAATTTCCCAGGTTCAGAAATTAATAGTTGATTAACTCATTTTTTATTATCAGAAGTCTCATGACCTCTCTTTTTCATTATAAAATACACATATAAGATTAAACAATTAACACTCTAATCTTTTCTCTCTCTTCTTATCACACTGTATAACTATACCTATATTTCTTTAGTTTCTATCTGTTTCCCTTTCTCAAATTTTATTAGTATGTAGGTGTCCTGAAAATATTATTCTCCTGCATATGATATATTATTTTAAACAATGGGAAAATGATAACTTTATTCTATTCTATTCCTTTTTACCCCATTCTGGTTCATCCAATTTCACGATCGTTAGATATCTATGCAGGAGGGGAAATATAAAGGTCTAGTTTAAATTAACTTTTGACTTACGAAAATCTTTTAATTAAATTAGTGCTTGATTGAAGAATTATACATGTTCAGAACATAAGGAGGTTAAATGAAAAAGATTCTAATACATATTTCCTAATTAATTTTTTTATTTGTCATAAATATTTATTTAAAATCACTCTTCTTTCGTATCACAATAAGATATCTAAATTTTTAATATACTTTTTTAATAAGACATCTTAATTTTTAATAAACTTTATTAATATAAGGTATATTTATCACAAGATACAGAAAAGTTCATTCAAATAAACTCTAATCATTATCAGACACATTTGTCATCAAATTTTAATTTAATCAGTGATTGAATTTGAGTTATGACATATAGATACACGAACATAATAACTTGAGAAGATGTGAAACCTTGAGAAACAAAATACTGATTCCAAAATTGCTGTTCCAGAGTGAGAAAGAAAATCATTTACTGTGAGGACAATCTAGATAAAAAAGGATGAAGTTTAGTTTCTGTTATTGGTAAAAACACCCAAGAGCATGACAATCAAAATAATATGAATCAAATTAGTATCTAAATATGTATAAATTTCTATCATGTATAAAATTTTGTCAAATCATAATCATCAAAGAGGTTAGACGAAACCCTGCATGTTCTGATGCACTTGCTTCTGTGGTAGACATGTTTGAAAGCATGAGAAGAAGAAAAGTTAGAGTTTAAAAGCTTGTCTTACATTAAATAAAAATGAGAAAATTGAGTGATATATAAGAAAAACAAGACACAAAAACTTACAGTTTTATGTTAAATAAGATATAAGATCTTTTATATAAACAACTCATACTCTAAAGATGGTGAGTCTTAGAAAAAAATTGTTTGAAGCAGAAAAACAGAGCCAGGAACAGAGGATGTATCCAACCCAAGTTCAAGGGTATGTTAAATGTAAGAGGCACCTGGACATGGAATTTAGCTAATGAGTAAGAAGTTAAAAAGTTAACATAAGTATATATCATAACTTGACTACCTTCCTCTGCTTTTGACACGACAGAGGAGTGGAGTTTATCCAATCGACAAGTAGCAACTTGTTATGTTTTCACAAGATTCGCACCAAAAACCGAAAGCTGAGTTGAAACTTGAAAGATTGGGAGAGAAATAAGTTTTATTTATTTATTTTGGGGACTGTAGATGGCTCTGGCTGGCCTTTGATTTCATGAAACTCTACAACCCTACAGGAATTGGAGAAAAGAAAACGCACCGAATTTTCCCTTTTTGCAATTTGTAATGCCATAAAAGGGTGAAGGAATATACTAAGAAGATGTTCTCTAATCCTATGCACAAAAAGCAATCTTCTAAATATTTTATTCAATTAAATTCTTGTAACATTTCGACACCCTCCTTATTCTTACAACATAGCCTTTTTAATTTAGCACCTTACTATTTTTAGTGCTGCATCAAATCTCAGTCAACTCAAATGTGTCGACATTGTTAGATCAAGTATTATATGTTTTAGTCTGTGTTCGATTTCGTAGATATTACTATTCACGTAGATGTGTATGTAAAGACGGATGTATAAGGATTTGAAATGTTCGTTTGTGTTGATCGTAAGTGAGAACACTAATTTAAAGGACGAGTGAAGTTTTGTATGATTTTATTTTCAACAGATTTCATGAAAGATTAAAGAAAGAAACATTAATATAACTTTTAAGCAATATAGCACTGTAAATTATCAGTCCCTTACACTAACGCATGTTATCACAACATCTTTAATCAATATTGTATATATTATACTTTATAATCACGTTTGAAACATTAATTATAATTATCATTATGTACTGTGATGAAATTTATACTTCAAACACTAATAAAGATAATTGCATCAATAAAGAGAATAGTGGGAGATTTGTTGTTCATAATCATTACAGACTATAACAATTACTCCATTCGAAAATAGCATTAGAAAAGCAATGAAACCCTAATAACGTTGTTGTGTGATTTTTTACCATAGTAATGCGTGAAACTTAGGAGGTCATGTACAGATGTCAGCAAATGTTGTCAGTATTTGAGGAACAGTGTGAAGGGGTTGGAAATATTAGGATAGAAAGAAGAGCGATGATTCCTTGGTAATTTGATTGCAGAAAATAAAAAGACGTAAGAAGGGTGAATGTGATATCGATTGAGGTTTGCATGAATGGGGATCTTACTTTTGTTGAAACTTTATGATGGGCAGATAAGAATGAAAGTAAGAATTTGGTATATAGAGATTATTATTATTCCTATAATCTTTTAGCAACAGAATTTTCCACGTGCCTGCATGTCGTAGAAATAGCTCTTGCTTTGGTTTCTTCTTGTTTCGAATTGTGTAGCGTCAACTATGTATGCTGCATGGTTTTCGATAAATGGCTCAAGGGGAACTCGAAGGGTCACTTGCTTTGTTTTCAAGTACTCAGACTATACTTATCTGCATCTCAAATCTCGACAGAACACAAACCACATATCTGTCAAATCATGGGACTTATCTTTTCTCTTTCAATACCATATTCTGTCCATGTTTTCCTAGTGTTCATGGGAGAAACAAAAACAAGAGTGATCATGTTTTCACACATTGCCTTCTTCGTAATGTTCCATGTGATTCAGTGAGATCAAACATAAGGAATGACAAAATCAAAGTTGTTAACCAGTTGCATGATTTATTTCATCAATATTTGAATTAAGATTAAATATGTTTTTAGTTTTTAAATTTTCACACAAAATTAAAATCCGTCAATATTTCAATCTTTGATATATGTTGATAGTGAAATTTTTTGAATGTAATCTTTTTAACTCAATTATGTTAAATTTGTTTAAAGTTTTAATGCATTTCCTAATTTACACTGAAACAAAATCGTGTTAAATAGTGTAATCAATATGAAATGTATTTGACATTTACTATATTAATTATTTTTAAAGTTTAAGAATCAAAATATATCAAAAGTTGTAGAGAAAAATGAATTTTAATTTTACACTAAAGTAGTAGAGAAATTAAAAGTTGAATTTATCTTTGAATTATTTAGAATGCTTATTTTAATTATATTTTTGCTTTCTTATTGGGATACTATTTTTATTATTACATTATTAAAACTTTTTACAAGTGCTGGGCTTAAACAACCACTTTTAAGATTTTGTTCTCTGACATTATTCATTAAGCAACAGTAACGAATCCATTTAGCCATGGATTTATGTTTCGAAAACCTTGTAAGAAAAGAACATGTAAATATATGGTTGGACTAAAGCCCTCACCCTCCTGTGATCTATAGAGATATAGTATAGTGTAAATAAAATAAAATAAAGAGTTAAGATGTGTTGATTCAAGCTTTATGACTCCATAGCAAAAATCTCCTAAATTAGCAAAATCTGACTCGGATATATATACCGTGAAATCAAACCTACCTCATACAAGTTGTGTTCATGAGTTTAGAATAAGTTTTAAATGCTTTGATTCTGAACGTGGGACCTAAAGCCCCTCAAAGGTAATATTCTCTAATCCAGAACAATATCCGATTTAAGTTTTCTTATCTTCATGATATTCATTTTCCCATTTATTAATGCAAGCTTTTTGACATTTCTTTGAGTAATAATAACGTCTCTTCAAATATTTACCTAATATAAACTCTCGCATAATTACACTAACTTTCTTATTGAAAACTTCATGTGATTTTTTTCTAAATTATCTTGTTCACTGCTGTGATTTTTTAACATATTTTGTATCTTTAATCGTAGAGGATACACACGATTTTTTATGACAGTATAGTATAGCTATAGTCCGTACGATTACGCAGAAAAACAAAATTACTTTCATTTATCTTCTTTATTCTTGTGTTGTCTGTTAACAAAAAGTACAATGGGAGGAACAGTATGTTAATAAAGAAGTTCCCTACCAAAATAAGTAATCATATATATTACTCATTTTTCATCGTTCGTATTCATATCAAGAAAAGCTAAGAAATGGAAACAAGTAAACGTTTAGGGCTGATAGTATATAATATATACTAGAGTAAAGCAACGTAATTACCACGTACATAATCATGACTACAAAACCATTTTATTCAGCTCTAAAACGTAATTAACCATTGATCTTGGGCACTTTGGTCTCGTGAAATCAAATCCATATAGCACCAGCATTCTTGAGCAGTGGTATGAGTTCATTGCTGAGATGCAGGCTCATGATTTTCTTAGAGCCACCAATGAATCGTTTTCCTATGAACACAGCAGGAACACTTGGTTGGCACCCCATTTGAAGCAATGCACTTTCAATCTGCTGGCCATTCGCCATCTCATCCAGCTCATGAACAGTAGGGTTTGCCCCAAAGTTACGTATCAGTGATGTCATGGAATGGCTCAAGCAACAAGTGCTCTTGCTGAATATCACCACAGGCTTTTCAGCTACTAAGCTTGTGATTATTTCCATGCTTCAGAAAACTGAAACTCAACACAATGCAATGTATAGAAAAGAGAGAGAAAAGGAAGCATATATGAGAAGAACCAATCGTGAGAATGTGGTTCATTGAAGGGTTATTTATAAGCTAATTGAATGTAGTGGTGGGCAGTGTTGTTTTTGTCGCTTCATATAAGAAGAATAAGATCGTGTAGAAGAGAATTCGGAGGATTCTCCATAACTGTCCTTTAGCACTGTACTGCATGTGTTGTAGATAACAAGTTGGCTAGCTAGCTGTTAAGGTCAATCTAATGAATCCAGAACTTTCTTCGAGAATAAGATTCATGCTTGATCGTGCATGAAGCATATCTTTTTTTTATTTTTAAATTTTGTCTACTATATTCTGCAACATGAATGAGTGATCATGTTACCATCATTATTTATAGAAAAACTGAACAAAACTCAATTTCATCTTGTTGTATTTGTCTGTTCATTTTGGAGCATCTGCTATAAGCCTAAGGATGAAAGAAAACAATATGAGCAACTTTTTTCATTGCAAGATTCGTGACCCTTTCAGTTCAGAAAATTTTAAAGGTTTTGGAAATGATTAGGAATACAATTAAATGGTTAAAAGCGCAAGATGCGCAACTTCTATTAACGAGGAAATCAGCACTACCGTACAAGATGTTTATGTCGGTCGTATATATAACCATGCACTATGCAAATTGCACATCATTGACAGTTATATTATATAGCATTTATTCAAATTATAGAAGTATCAGAATTAAATATGCCGAAGGCCTAAATTAATGTTTTGATCAAGTCCACACATTTGGTAAGTTTTTGTTTCTGCCATCTCCTTGATTACACTGAAATTTGTGTGTTTAAACAAAAAACATATAATTTCCTGGCATTTGTGTTTATGACTCAGGAACAAGCAATGCAGCTGTGATTATACTCGTTTAGGTGATAGCCAACTTGCATTATCAACAATCCTACCTTACTTTAAAAATAACTATGGTTAAAAACTGTTGGTCATTTAAGTTTGTAAGTGTTTTTTAGATGAATTTCTTGTCTCATTTCAGTGTGTTATTGGAAGTCTAACATCATAAAGTCAATTTATAGAATATAATTAAATACAAAATTTACATTGTATTAGACAAAATCCACTTTTTATCATTATCATCATCGTGGTTTTTGAAAAGTCTATCATCTAGTTTGTTGGCATGATACTGTTACATAAGATGATCCCTGACTTAAAAACTTGTACTTGTATATGAAAATCTTGCTTCTTGAAATGGGAGGAACAAACAAAGATCACTAATGCTTGAGGAGTCACAAACATCAAATGATATTCCGTTGGTCCATTTAATTTATTAATTGAGAAACCAGAAAGAAGGCTCATATGCATGGTTTTCTCCATGAATATAGACATAATTTTTGTTGATTTTTGATGGGTTATTCCCACAACTCAAACCTGACACCTCTACTCAAATATATCCTTTGTACCTCAACCATATTTTATTGTGAGTCTAGATGTGGATGGTTTGAGAAGAAGAATATATGGCAAAAGTGGTTGAGCAAGAGACAAAGATATAAAAGGAATAAGAATATAATAGTTGTGGACGAAGTCGGTTTTCAGCATACAGAGTCATGGATTACAGATTAAGGAACTCAGATATTATCTCTCTCCACTTCTTCTAACCATGATGTGTATGCTTCAACTTCAATCCTTTCCTATATGCCAAGAGCTTATATTCCTTTGGTTAATTGTTTCAACATATTATAAATATGGTGATTAGTTCTATATGGCAATCCAAAACTATCTATGATTGGTAAAATCAAAATTTGTATTGATAACAACGGTACAATGTGCATGTCAACTTCATAGGATTCTGTAAGTGGAATCTTTATCTGTGTACAATCTGCGTTTTATTTTCTTTCACGTGGTAAACTTCGGTCTAGATAATATTTCACTTAATGCTCTGAAGATTTGTTTCTTATATACACCTATTAATTAACAACATATGCTTCCATTACAGTGTTGACACATCAATGTTTCTTTTAAATTCTTTTGCCACTTCTGCATTTTTACTGTAGTACCAACTTCTAACCTAATTCTTCAGTTCAAATCACAGAGAAGGCGAAATTCCTTTCAACAGTTTTAACTCAGTAAATATGATTGATTTACATTTTTGACTCAGTTCAATACACAGATCTATGCTAGTCGATCAGCCACTCAGCACTAACAGAGACGATAACATAATATACACAACGGATTTAACACTGTTATTGAATAAAATCTGTTATATAATACAAATTTGATTTCAAACCCGCAATCAAGATTATGTAAAAAATTCAAGTTTCTAAATTTCTCTCATTATTACTTATTACTAGCCCCGCTCCTAGGTGAATTCATTCAACACAAAAGTGCCAGTTCAGACAAGTTCACCATGTTATTCAAATCTCGTAACACTTGAAAATGTTACTAAAACGCTCAAAATTAAGTAGATGCCGCAGAAGATCATTTACATGATCATCAACATAAATAATCGTCCAGAAAATATGAATTACAGTTGTGAAATGTACAGTTATAGCCATTTCAAAATCACAACTAGGGTTTCAAGAGACCTAAAGCCAAATGCCTGACTGTAAAGAAAAATGATACAAGGCAACATGATAAACAAGCATCCGTATGATTATATTATATGCCCCATTTGATCATGTTGGGACCACAGAATTATAATGCTCTCCTAGCCCAAAAGCATGCTTATGATAAGAAAGCACGATACTCGAATTAGACAAGCCAGTGCCACCATCAGATTTATACTCTTTGCCCATCTCCACATCGGGGAAGGATCCTGAAAATATCATAATATGCTTCTTCAAGCAGTGAGTCAAGGCACCAAGCTCTAGTTGCCCTCCCCATATAGCTGTGGACTCCACTTCTTTACAGTAATTTTCAAACTTCTCAGCAAGTGATTCATTAGAATCATCCTCAATTAAATTCTCTGACAGGAAAAATGGAAGGAAATCAGATGTATGCTTTCTCATGTAAGCAGCCACCATTTCCCGAAGTTCTTGGTATGTATAAGGTGATCTACCACCAGAGAGGACAGCCAGCTGATCTTCAACAGCTCTATAGAGGCAGTGCCCATCAGGCTTTATTTCACAAACAGTCAAACCTAGAGGCTTCAACTTCCTTTCCAACTTCTCGTTTTCAATCATTCGATCGCTTACAATGTCAGTCTGCTCTGCTTGGATTCTCTGTTCCCTTTCTGCTTCTTGTTGAGCTCTTTTGTCTCGCCTCTGTTTGGCCTTGCTGACTTTTGTATGTTCAGGTTGACTAGCAACAGATACTCCAGCAATGGCCTTAACCAAAGTGTCCAAATTGCTCTTTTCATTCCCATTACCGCTGCTATAGCCTAATGCAGCCAATTCCTTGGCATGATTCTCCTTCAGCTTAGTAGAAAGTTGAGAAACCTCTTCCTCCACTTGCTTCTTCTTAGCTTTCTGCTCAGCCTTGCTACCTCTAGCTGCAGCCTTTTTCATCTCAACTTCCTTTTTCTGCAGCTGTGATATCTCTTTCCTGAAAATAAGCAAGTAATTAGGGAAGAATTCACATTGCACGAGAACCCAAAAGAACACAACAAGTAACACGATTCAAGTTGCTATATTGAAACATGAATTAATAATAAATAGGAATTAAATGAAAAATAGTAACTCAAGAACTTGGAAAACAAACCATACTTAAGTGTGACATTCATTATAAAGTAGCTGCTTTCAACCATGCAAAGCAAATATAACTAGCAGTAGTGATTCAAACTGAGTATAGCCATGCAGATACGTTAGTTTAAATTTCAAGCACTTTCTCAACTAATACACCATAAAGTCTTTAACCAAATAACTATTTTATTTACTTCACTAGCTTTCGCCAGTGGAAAGTGACAATTGACACAAGTTTTCGAGAAGCCAAATGCTAACCTGAGTGAATGAAGTGACCCTTGTTCTTTTATTTATGTCTCCAAAGAAAAGGAAAAAAAGAACTTCGAACTACTTGAAACTCTAAAGAACCTGATTAAAACTTTTGACCACTTTGTTTTTTTTCTATGTTATATAAAAGATAAACCTTTTTTAGCATTTTGCACTAAAGTAACATTGGAAGATGTTTCAAATAGTTCAGTCAGTATAAAATGGTAACACAAGTAACTTGGGAAATCTCTAAGCATTGGCTCAGAACAGAGACAAAGTACCACAGTAAACTCCAAATCAACGAAGCACACCTTGAATGTTATTATAGAAATACATTTTCATAGGTATGGTATTCTAGGGTTGAGGGTTAAGAAACATGCAAAGGAACGTTTTCTAAAGGGGAAATGCCATGCCAGTGATGTCAGACACAATTCTTATGTCCTGCATGGTGAGTCTACTAATCATGCTCGTTTGCAATTCTGAGCACAGACAAACTCACCCAGGCATGGCAGGGATGAAGAATCGTGCAATTCTTCAAGTTGACTGATTTCGAATACCATGACATGATAAAACTCCTTTTATCTTGCGAAGAGGAACAGGAATAATATGGAATGACTGAGTAATTCAGATTCCAGAATGAGTAAAACCCATCTATGTTGAGCTTTAGAGTCAATCTCTATGAGTAAGAGAGCAACTAAGACTAAATACATTCACAAAAAAGGTGAGAGCTGAAGATGTTGGTTGATCTTATGAAGAGTGAATCACCTGTGACGGGAGAGAATTTCATCACGAGTCTCCGGCTTCGTCTCAGATGTTTTGTCTGAAATCACTTCTTCATGAGCCTGCTCCTTAATTTCTTGGGTATCCTCCATTGGAGCAGCCCTAAAATTAAAAAAAAAAAAAAAAGTAGAAACATTTTACAGTGATAAGAAATCATAACCAAGCCAATAATCATTAGTTAGAAATAAAATAACAAGGATATACAATGACACCAATGAGATCTCGAAAACCCTAATGCAAACATGGATCTTTCAGTGCAAGTTATTAAGCCGCAACAACAATTTCCCAAAACTAAAAAACAAATCATTTATTAACAACTCAAAGTAGATAAGAGTTAATTAGTTAAAATAGTAATGCA